GCAATAGTATATGGAAAGCAAAGCAAAATAATTTTTAGATGACTTACAAATTCTTGAATTTACAAACTTCTCACCCAGGTGTCTAATGTTTGAGCTTTACGCTGCCATTTAGTTGAAATTCGGTTTCTAAAAATAGTAATATGTGTCTGTATAAATATTCTGCGACTTTATGCTCAATGACCCTTAATTTGGAAAGAAAAAGGTACCATTGTAACAAGAAAGAAGAGTGCATGAAATTTTCTTATATTTCATACACTTAAAAAGACATGCACAAGACCCATGCAAACTCAAGCAGACAGAAACCTACCATAGAAATGGAAATGGCCAGCAGGCCATAACCTTAGCCAGAGAGCTATTGGCAGCTGATTCCTGCTGGGAGAGAGAGAGAGTTGATCTTCTTTAAGGGAGTGACCCTAGATAGGCTGACTAGACCCCATTGGATGAACTTGCACTGAGGGACATCTGGGTACACACTAACTTGACTCAATAGGCCCTAACACGTGTGACAGAATACATAAAATCCATTAGGGGGATATGGGAGTACAGATAGGGGAGGGGGTATAAAAATGATTAAGATGTTTTGTATGAAATGCACGAAAATTCAATGAAAAAGACAAATTTTTTTTTGCCTTTACCAGTAGCAATTATTTTAGGAAAAATAATTCTCATTTATCTTTGTAACACTTTATATTTGCTATAGTAAATATATTTATTATTTTTAGCTGCATGCTTTTGAGTAGTTTGTCTTCTGGTTACTATACAAGCATATTGATTAGCCTATTACAAAATTAGAAACCTACTCCAGTTCTTTTTACATTTTTAGTGTGTATTGTACAAATTAGTTGGCTTCGTACATGTGCTTTGATCCGACTCCCTCTTGAGTCTTATTTGTACTAACTACATATTTTCTATAAGGTCAACAAAATGTTTTTTAAGATGCTTTAAAGATTAAATACCTGTAAATTTAAATGAGAACAGACATTGTAAACATAGTATTTCTCTTTGAAATGAGTTGTATCTTCTAGAACTAAAAATGCAGTTTCTGGTCAGTTACATTCTGGTCAGAATGATTTATGATTCCAAATTCCAAATTAAATTGTCGTTGTACTAAATAGGTAAGAGAGTCAACAGATAGCCTGGATTTATGAGATTCAAAGAGGCTTTTTCCTAACTTCTGTGGTTTTGAAAAATATTTTCATATTAAATATTGTACCATCACAATATAAAGTTAAAGGCTACATTTGGGATTAACATAGAAAGACAGAATTTAGCATCTAAATTTCATTTGTTAACTTTTTCAAGATGTTTGTGGACTAAAATGTCACTTGTCCTAAGAAAAGGACAAAATTAGGATTTTAGAGTTTACCTATGAAAATCTGCATCAGTAGTGCATAGTAAGGCAGCTAAAAGTGGCAATTGAAACAAGCCCATCTCCTGAGTGCAGTCAGAAGAATAAGGAACCTAGCAATTTTCTCTAACATAAGGAGACCTTTCTGATTAAGGCTTTAGGATCTTATCATGGGACAAGGTTCGGGGTCTAAACGTGTTTCTTTATCTCTCAGAGTTACAAAACAGATAATTTGATAAACTAGAAGTTAATCTAGTTGGTTTTCAGTGGAAAATAGGCTTAGCAGTAAACCACTGTCAAAGCTCCCCCAGATCTCTGTTTCTTCTATTACCTATTTCAAAAGCTTGCTTACCTTAGATCTTAGTCTCATTGTCAGTTCACAGTGAAGCTTTGCAGTGTTCTCTACGTAGTGTGTAGCCTCCTTCCCTTCCCTCAATTCCTAGGGTAATTCAGTCAGATCTGTACCCTTCTGTCCATGATCTTCATTCTCATTACGGACTCTTCCTACAAGGCAGACTTTGCACATGAACTCTAGGAGCACAGCCTTTTTGGGTCCAGGGCCAGGAAGAATAAAGAATAAGAATACAAGTTTTATAAAGTTCTTATAAAATCCTGGAGATCAGCCTAAGGTTGCTGACATTTGATACTGCCAGGTATAGACAGTTTTCAAACAGTAATGTATGAAGGGCATTTTAGTGCCAAAGAGGAACATTACTGGAATAAAAAGAGTCAGGTATGTTGAATGAATTTTAGCTTTATGAATAACTGTAGCATCTTCTCTTTTCACTATTCTGGGAACAACTTTGTTATAAATTGTACCTGCTGATGACGAAGTATTAGTATAAAACACATGCATATTGCTGGAAGCTAGTATGTCATGGAATAAGGTATCCATTTGTCAGACATTTATTACTCTATGGACACTACTAGTCGAGAGGAAAAGTTACAGAGGAAACAGAATTAACTGAATATACTATAAAATATTTCTCATATTTTTTTCCTGTTCACTGGAATACAGCTTAATTAGTCACTCTTTATGAGTAACAAACGAACTAGAAAAGCAACTGGTTCTGGATGTGTCCCATTCTCTTTTTATAGCACAAAGGTGTTTAGAACCTAGCATGTATATGTGTATATATATGTATGTACGTGTGTATGTATGTGTATCCTTTATCCTTTCGAACCTTCTGTTCAGTTATGTTTTTCCAATAGTAGGTTTTCTAATTAGCTTACCCATTAGGTAAGGTAGGAAATCCCTTCCCTTGCACTTTTGTGGTATTTTTTTCATTTCAGTTTGGGTCAGTTTGGGTTATACTCAGAAAACGTTTGATCTTCTCCTCTCCCCTTTGCCTTCTTCAGAATATCTAAGTGGCTGCAAACAGCCTCCTCGGACACAACACCGAGATGAAGATTATGAAGGCGCTCCATGGAATTGTGACAGCTGTACCTTTCTCAACCACCCAGCACTGAATCGCTGTGAGCAGTGTGAGATGCCACGGTACACTTGAGTTCAGAAAAGTCGGCACCAGGTTGAGAGTGAAACTGGGAGCTCCCACCAGAAGAAAAGGAAGCCTCGGGACTGCGTTAATCTGCCCAGCCTTTTCATTTCTGATTGCATGGGGGGAGGAGGAGGAATGGCCCTGTGGGCACTGGGCTCACCAAAGGAAAAATGGGAAGGTCTTTCTTTGTTCCTTTCATAACTCACTGCGGAGTGAGAGGTCGAAGGGGATACTTGAAACTGGGAAAGGATTCACTCCTGAAAGAATGTACACAGGGAAGTCATGGCTTTTCTGTGGAATCTCAATTGTTAAAGTTACTGCTGAGTGGCTCTTACTTTTTAAAGATGAACTTTGAATTATAGTAGAACATGTTACAGTTTATGCAGACAAACTGTGAATACCAGAGCAGACTTACCTGTAGGGTCACAGCTCTGGAGACCAAGGCTCCACTGTGCTTCTACCTGCTGCTTCTTGCGAGGAGGTCAGGAAGGAGCACCCAGGATATGGTTTCTTTTCTTTTTGCAAAATAATGAGGGTATTTGTAATTGCTGCTTTTTTCAGGGGTAATTTTTAACACACATACATACGCAAATAAGAAAATGTGATCTGTAGCAGTCAGGAATTAGGCATATCATGCCCTTTGTGAAAAAGTACAATCAGAGCTAGTAAGATCCCTTTTGCTTGAACAGTGATTCATCAAGCTACTGATCCGCACTGTTAACTAAGACCTACTTAAACCACATAATTTAAATTACTGTGTACTTTTCTTAGGCTATTGGTTTTAAAAGTAACAAAATGTGGTTTTATTAAAAAAAAATGACACTCTCATAAAACTGTGCTTTGCCAGTAGCACAGTGAATGTATGCCAGACACAAGTCCATTCCAAATCCGTTTGGAAATCCTGAGCTCAGCTGTGGTTCTTAAGAAGTGTTTGTGATTCTTAAGAAGGGTTTGTGACCCATAGGGCCCTCTGTCCCCTGCCTTACGTTTTAAGTTTATGATCATGCTCCATGATGTTTACAGCACAGATAATACTTTGTGCCATAATCCTACTGTAGCTGAAAAAAATCAAGAGCTATTCATTAAAAATATTTGCACATGTTAATCAGCCAGTATGGGGGAAATTGAGTTGGTCAGCGTCATAGTTGCATTATTTGAGGAGCAAGAGAAGGCTACACAAGAAATACTATTGGGCATTAGCTCAGTATGTACAGGGCCCTAGGTTTGAAAAGAAAATGAAAAATAGTATTAAAAGAATGATGAATATAGGGGACTTTGAAGCAACTTTTTAAGTTTTAACAGATCCTACTGAATCCTGGCAGTTCAGGGAATACTAAAGCACTACTTATGAAACACAACTCTGAGTGTAGATAAACTGAAAGAGATAATAAGTCAGGTCATTCACCAGAATGTATCACTGGAAAATTGAGACTAGCACATTCTGAGTCAGTTCTTGCCATTAGTAAATTTCCTTCTTGCTTCAGAATTGGATTTCAATAACTCTCCCCATTTCAGTGAATATAAATAGCAATAAAGTAAGAAGGTTTTCCCATTCTGAGGGATTTTTACCTGAAGGGATTTTTAGGAATACCAAGTATGCCCCCCACCCCCCCAACCCTGTGCACTGCCATTGTATTCTAATTTAGTAGTAATCTCTGGCAGACCTGGAAAAACAAGCTGCACTTAATAGCATAATGAAACCAAAGGCATAACTCATCATAGGCTACTATCAGATTCCTAATGTTACATGCTGCCTACAGCTTTCATATGTAGAGAAACCCCCAAAATATATTCACTTGTCTCCCGAAGAGCATGGTTGTGTAATTATACTGGTAGACATCTCTCATACAACTGTGGCAAAACTGTGAAAATAATGGTGAGAAAGGCTCAAAAGCATGGGCTTGGAAAGGATGAAAGGCTTGGAACATTGGCCTCTTGTCAGCCTCTCCAGTACAGTCTTGCAGTCCTGCTGTTCTGTAAGATGCTGTTGCCTTTGTATGGTTTCCTGTCTCCTTAGTGATGGACAACCCTACTTGGTGTTACCAAGGAAGTTGGGGCGGGATATATACACACACACACACACACACACACACACACACACACACACACACACACACACACACACTGCTTGGTGTTCTAGCTAAAAGGTTGACCAGTATTCATAGTTGTATGCTGAGATGCCAGCAGTTAACATGGCATTTGCCAGTTGAAAATGAAAGTAGCATGTCTGAAAACAGTCTGATGCTTTATTAAAATCATGTAGGCACTGTTAAAACTATTGCATGAAAACACATCAAGGTTAATAAACTGTTATCATACAGTAAATGCATGGTTTTAGTCCTCCAATGATATATCTAGTCAATCATTGCTTTCACCTGCCAGGAAATGTGAGGAAACAGTTGATTTGCTAGGTGTGGAAGGTGGGTATGAGACATCAGAGGCTGACTTTAAGGAAGTTTTGTACATGTTAAGTTTCAGTTGTGTACAAGTTTCATATGCCTGCCTAGGCTGTATTCAGTTCCTAAAAGTGAGAAAAATAACGACACTGATAAATTTGATATATTTAATTGTGTCCTATATGTAGGCTGCATCTTGCCTGTGACCAGTTTGAAGAAGAATTCATCTACCCTTCCAGATGCTTTTATAGAATGATCTCCTTGTCAAATTGGTTTTACATAAGCAGGTGGGAAATGGCAATAGTAGATTAGAACTTGGGTGACGTCTTGCTACTGAGGTGCCTATACCCGTTGGATCAGTTGGTACACACTTGTTCCTTGTAAGAGACTTTCATTATTCAACTACTAGTTTGATGAATCTAGTAACACAGACCTATGTTTTACCTTATTTCACTGTTGTGTAAAATGAGTGTTTAGGAAGCATGTTTGCCATTGTGTTAAAAGAACATTGCCCCCTTAAAGTTTGAAGTTTTTAAAAGTTTAAAGTAATAGAGGAGCCAGAAACTTCTAAGCATTGTAAAATGTTTTGAATTGATACTGACCTAGTTTGGGAGAGAGTGGAGGCAGGGAATATTAAGGAAATAAAAGAAATCCGTTGTACAAATGTAGTTTTAGAGCAGATTAATGATGGTGGAGGAAAGTGTTGCTAATTTGTTTATTTCCCAGGAAGAAATGGGAAGTGTGATATGCAGTTTAATTTTTAAGGAGCTGGTCTCAATTTTAGTTCTTTCTAACTATAAAAGAAATCAATGTTTCCTTAAATTTTGTTTTGGTTTCTCACAACAATCTAGGGTTCATATCCAACTTTCTGTGACAACTCAATTACTTAAGAGTCTTTTAAAAGGTAATTGTTATGTCTCTCTGACAGTATAAACAAAGAATGTGGAGGCATAGAGCTGTCCTTTAGAAATGTCATTGATGTATCCTGGAATGTGAAGCTGTCCCTTTAAGATTACAAATTGAATTATTTTAATATTGTATCATCGTTAGACCCTAAACAAGTCCATGTTATAGCATGTCTGTATATCTGTAGAGAAAGGAAAATGACAATTGAAATGTTACTTTTAAAAACTCAGAATTGGGCACTGCCTGTGTTGCGCCACTACTGTACCTTTTGAAAGAATTAACAGTATTTTCCTGTTGTGAAAGTTAATTCTTATGATGTTTCACATTCACCAGATTTTTTTCCCTGTATTATTTGCATCCCCGAATATTTAATACAAGTAGATTTTTGCATGACTTGGGCATTCAGAGATGAATGGAATGACGACTCAATTTTAGTTTCTAAAGCCATGAAAACTTGCTTTGAGACTGAACAATTCTGAGTTCTTATTTATAACAATACCCATTGTCCATGTTTCTTTCCCTACTGTAAAAGAATTGGTCAGTTTCTTCATTAAAGCAGCAAGAACTTATTAAATCTTGTACATACCATGTCTCTTAGATTTCTGTGTATGCTGTGAATGATATTATTTGGAGAAGAAATTGTACAAAGGCATTTTAAAAGGCTGTGCATGCATCGTACCTCCAAGCAGTACATATTCAGAAAGTCAAAGATTCTTGCAAAATAAATTAATAAACTAAAAACAAGCACTACATGCTGCATGTTTTCTGTGAAGCAGTTACAGTTCTAGACACTCGTATTTCTGGATTGCAGACCTAATTGGCACATTTCACTTTCTTTAGAGCATGAATAATGTTAGACTTGAGCTGAGTATTAACTGTACATTGCCCTGACTTAAAAATTTGGTAAAACGATGCATAAATAGGTTTATGGAAGGCTTGGAAAATGTTAGGCACTCAAAGGTTTCATTCCGTTTAGCATTGCTTACAAAAGAGTAAGTCATTTGCTTTTTTAAAAAAAGTCATTTATAACTAGTTCTCAAAGGCAGATAATCAGAGGCCATAGCATTCACATACCGTAGTCTACTAAGCATTCCCAGCTTTGCACAGAAATCACCACAGATGAATTACATTAGATAACCTTTATTCCAAATTAAAAATAACTTCTACATTTCCAATATATGAAAATTATAAACATAAAGAAGCACAGAATTATTTAATTATTCATTGCTCACCTTCCAAAATGTTATATATATGTATGCATATATATGCATATATATAGATATGCAACCTTCATTTTTGTCACTGACCTTGTATTATTTTGAAAAAATTCTTGTCTATTTATTTGTAAAAAAAATAATAAAACTTTAAGCTTAGGCACATCTCGCTCATGACACGTTACAAAACAGCTTCGTAAATATTGAATACCCAATGTTAAATGTCCCCAGTAATTATCAAACTTAAAGCTGTTTGAAATTAGGATATCAATAGAATACTTAAAATGCATATCTCTTAAATCTTTATAACACATACACATATGTATGTGTATGTTCTCCCTCTCGTCATAAGGCACGTATTAGCCAGGAGGATCAACTGGAGTTCAAGACCAGCCTAGGGTACAGAATGAAACCCTGTGACAAAACAACAGCGAAAACACATTATATATGAGAATCGGATGGTTTTCTTCTGGGTGGCTTTTTTCCCCAGTGCTGAGAATCAAACCCAAAGCCTTGAACATGCTAAACAGATGTTCCATTGCTAAACTACATACCTAAACTGTGGGTTAGACTTTCATTTCTTAAGTTTCAGAGTCTCAGAAACTCGAACTCTTGTCCTGCTTTTAAACATTGGTTGGTAATCTTGGCAAATATATAGTGCAAGAGGAATCATGAAGCCTAGCTTTCAAGACCTGCATTGTGATTGTGGAATACTGCTAGTTAGTACCTTATATAATATTACTGTGCTTTTTAAAAAAAAATCTTTTGTTCAATTTTTGAGAATTTCATTGTATTGTCTTTGCATTGTTTCCATCCCTCCCAGTCTACCACCAACTCTTCCCGTCTCCCCTCACTCCCTGTAAATTTCTTGTTCTCTGTAATTATAATTGTTACATATACATAATGCACTGAGTCCATTTATTGGTGCTCATGTGTACCTGTGTTTAGGGCTGTCCATTTAGAATTAGGTAGTCTCTCAGGGAGCTAGGCCCTGGAGAAAACTGATTCTCCCTCAGTGTTCATTTAGTGCCTGTAGCTCTTCATCTTGAGGTGAGACCTTGTTACAGTGCCAACTGATTTTGTCATTATGCAGAGCTGATTAGATCACCATGTTAATCATTGGTACGGCTAGAAATGCATTAGCTAGCAGAAGGAATCTTGTCCCTTTGGCTCTTATATTCTTTCCACCCCCTCTTCTCACACTGTTCCCTGAGCATTGGGTATAGAGATTGCATTATAGATTTGTCCCTTCAGGTTAGGTGTCTGACAGTCACTTGTTTGCT